GACCGCCGCAACCGGCTTCAGACTGATGTTATTCAAGCTACCTAGTGTATCCGATCGTGGGAGCTTCACGGCATTGCGCTACCGGTGCTAGTGGCGGCGGAGGAGCCGGTGGAGGAATGATAGGAGCGGTAAGGGTATGCGACAGTAGCAGCGAGGTTTACGGTGGGGTTCAGGGGGGTTTGGCGTTGATGGCGTGGTTGATGGCGATCAGGTCGTGAATTTTTGACTTTTGAGCGGTAAGGCTGATGAGGCTCAATTGAGGCTGATGAGGCTCAATTAAGGTTGGTAGGGCTGAAAGTCAACACCAAGGCGTTTCATAGCTATATGCGGTTTAGACGGGCTCTCAAGGGTCTTGCTTAGTAGTTGTACGAAAAACCAGTCGTACTAGATCGGTGTTTCCCAATGCGGCACAAATATATACTGTAACTACTTATTTACAACACTAGGTCTTCCTCGGTCTGCCTTCCTTTCGCTGGGATATACGCCGGCTGAGAAGCCCCGTCCAGAACCTCACGCGGGGCGAATAGACTAATGGGATAGCCGCTTGCGAGACCTTGTTACTTTACGAAGAACCTGCCTTTCCGGACATGTTCGACTGGCTCCTCGTCAAAGTGCCTTTATAAGAACGACAACAAGAACGTGTTTTTGCTCTTTAGTCAGTCAAACATTTCTATTACCAGAAGTGTATGTCCAGAACCCACGCAATATGGAAGACGAGTATTACTGCTGCTAAGTCAAATTGCTAAAGTGGTTTGCCTTCGAAGTGAACGTGTACGTCTACCGCTATGTCCTTGTAGTCCGCTGCCCTCCGGATCGAATGCCTCATGCCGGCTGAAGTGGGATGGGGCTGCGCAGCGATCGCGCGTATTTGTGCTAGTATGCGAGGCCAATGTAGCTGCTTGGAGAGATGTGGATGCTACTTTGATCCGAAAAGCGCTGACGAAATTCGTTCCGTAGTGTGAGACGTTCGTAGAAGAAGGACATCGAGAGGACGCTTAAAGCTCGCGAAAGAGATAACCAGCAGGTAAAGTAGTCATGAATCCTGAAGGCGCTGCACTTAGCCTAAAGGTTCGGGAGCATCTTGAATCTTTTAATGGGAAACACACCTTGAGCTGGCGTCTCCTCGTCCTGAGAACATGCCTCGCAGCTACGTCGATCTGCCCTCACCCCGAGACGCGACCTATGCTTATTCCTCAGCTATTAAGCGCGTTACTGTGAAGCCTTGCACCTCTTATGGATATCCAAGCTGGTGCGCAACGCCTCCTGATCTCCTCCTCAAAGCACCGGACTCTTCCACACCCCAGCTGTAGTGCACAGGACCTTTTACCTGCGTTTGTGTATCTGAAAGGCCAAAAGGATGGTTAAGGTCCTGTGCTGGCGCTTCTGCATCCAAGAAAACCAACGCGATGGGCTGCAGAACAGTTGAAGTCGGCGCGTGGTGGGTTTGAAGAGTTTTATGTAGGAAGTACGATATCCGTGAGCGGGCGCATTAATGCGGAGAAGGCTCTTTGAGAATAGTGGCAAGCGGTGCCTCTTCTTGACGGCGGCAGACATTCGAGATCAGTCTACGGGAGAAGCAGCTGATAACGCCCCAGAGCTGTCCCCGGTCGGTGGAATATTGGCGCTCTTGCTTTAAGGAGGCAAGCTCGTGGGTACCTTGATAGTGTATGAGTATCTCTTTCGTCGCGATAAGGTTAACTCACCGTACATAGTTGCTGTCTTACTAACTGTGATTGTCGAGCGCTGCGACGAAGGCTGCCAAGTATTTCCTCCCTCCTGTTCGTCTGTCCGCTCCCACCCTGAGTCTAAACGCAAGGGTAGGGCGGTGCCTCACGTACGCCCTAGCATGGGTATAGAGGATGAGATGGTTCTGTTGGAAGACCGGGCGGTTCTGGAGCAATAGGATAAACGGGCAGCCGATCATGTTCAGATCACCCAGCGCCGAATCTGTGGGAGTTCCATATCCCAGCCACCGGCACCATCCCCGTTCATCCAGTTCCGTCGCCTGTTACGCTCCCGGCGGGTGAGGATCCGTGGGTTAACTACTCATATCGCCGGAAAGTCATGAGATCACGTGTGGAACGTCAACCGCGACGGTGAGGTTGTTCAACTAGCTACATTTATCAACCACGCATTGAATACTGGTGTTGCAGCTGGCTGATTATTTGTCCAGGACTAAGCTCTATCTATGCCAGTGGCTGCCACCGTTATCCTCTCGCCGTCGCGGTTGACGTTCTGCACGTGATCTCATGACTTTCCGCCGACATGAGTAGCATGGAGGGGGGGAGACGGTACCGCATCTACTCCACGCGCGTCTCCGATCTCAATATTGACGGCGACATGAGGCGGAGTCTAGTACAGAGGGGGAAGACGGCACCCGCTTCCCCTCCACCCACCCGCATCTCCGATGATAAAAGTCAACGGCGACGGCGACAACTATAAGCACGACGCCGACGCCGACGTAGGCACCGAAACCTCCAGCTCTCCCCGCCCGCGGCGACCTGCCCCCGTTTCATAGGACGCCAACAACAACGACAACAAGCATGGCGCGGATGATCGCGAGGATATCCAACCCGCACCACTGACTCCCGACGTCAAGATCAAGCACGGACGGACCATAGAGCGGACGCCGCACTAGGCGCGCTGCGCGAGTTGCTTTGATAAGAATATTGTGCCGAGTCCTGGGATGAAAGGGGGAAGAGGGGTGAGAAGAGTTGTTGGGTAGTTTTTGAGGTTGTGAGTTTTAGGGGGCTTGATGGAGGGAGGATCGGTAGGATAGGGGTTTTGGTAGGTGGAGGAGGGATGGTTTGTCGTCTTTTAAGATGTTGATGATGATAGCGATGAGGATGGAAAGGTGATAAGGTTGTGCTCGTGATGCTAACCGCGGGTGTCGAGGAGAGCGCGGACGGATCAAGGAGTGCGGATCATCAAGTCTGCGAATGTTAATGGTGCATTTGTCAGAGGTCACCGTCGTGAAGGAACGCAAGGGTCAAGCTGTGTGTGTATAGGTAGACTTCCTGCCAGTAACCAGATTGATTAAGCTATCTAGTTACTCGTAAAGGCCGTGAATAGTGATGAAGAGGAAAAGCCGAAAGAGAGTCCCAGAGGGAGTACAGGTAAGTGGGTGCTAGGCGTAGGGGCACTCGCGTGTATCGTGTGAAAGAAAGTAGAGTCCAGCGAAGAGCAACAATTGGAAGGAAAGCCGAAAGCCGAAAGCCGAGGTCTTGTCTATCGATCTGGTTTGTGTCCATGAATTCCTCCAAAGTGAAAGAAAAAGAAAAGCGCAGGCTGATTGTTCCCGCTTGCGGCTTAGGTCCGGGAGCGAGGGAGCGAGCCGCACCTCAACCGGGGACCAAATTGGGTTGTCGATTGCACTATCGCTGCATCAGGCGTAGATCGATGCCAGTTTCAAGGTTGGGCGAACCTCAGAACTGGGAACCCTTGCCCTATTAGCCGAACGGCATTTTATGACAATCTCTTGCCGATCGGGACGGGAAATACATACGGAGTGCTTACTTCGCCTAAGCCTTCAAACTGCAGGGCCGGCAGCACTTCAGTTTACAGTACTCGCACTCGTAGATGTACCAGTGCGGTCCGGAGTGGCACATATTGCAGTTCCACAGAATCAGGGTGGTGTCGGACTTGACCATCCTGAATCCGTGATCGCATTTTCCAGGGACGGCCATTCCGCGTGAATCGATTTGCAATTGCAATATGGTTGATAAAGACGATGGCACGTAAAGTAGAGGATCGGCTGGATGAAGGAAAACAGGAAAGCGTCCATACAGACCACTATAAGTAACTCTTTGGACCAGTGTTTGATCACCTACTGTGGCTTTTGCCCGCTCGCCATACAATCCCAGGCAATGCTTTTTTCCCTATAGAAGTGTAACTGCTCACAATGTGAGAGCGCCCTGGCCAGTCTTGCCGCTCGAAGTGCTGCAGCCACAACCCAACAGCCCGGCCAACGAGAATCAGTAGTTCTACCAGGAACACCCAGTTGTCACTGCAATGGCTACGTAGGTATCCGCTTACTCTCTTTTCGCTTCGCTACCTTGATTCCCTGTTTCCCCTTAGAGGTTACATCTAAGCTGATCACTCTGTCAGCGCTGCCTTTGTCGGTGTCTCTGTAAGCCCCTCTACAAGCCCCTCTGCAGGTGTTAGATGTCCACGTTACTGTCCGCTTTGATTCGTGAATGCTCTCTCGTGATGCGCCGCGCGATCTATCATTAAGGTACGATCTATTCGGGTATCATTGAACTTGCTTCTGTATCCGGCGTCTCCGAACCGTTCTGCAGTTGTGGATGCTGCCGCCTGCTTCACTGGCTGCACCGATCTCTTTTTTCAGTTTGTGAGCACTTCTGTTTGTGATTTTCTCTTCCTCGGTTTACAAGTGCTTTTGCCTGCGTTGCTGGCTGCATTCATGACCCAATGAGGTAGCTTTGCTATTCGTGAGCAGTTCTCGAGCGCGAGGCGGTGGGCCAGCTTACGGAGGCGCTCAGGCGCTGAGGGGCTGTCAAGCTTCTGCTGTGCTTGTCCGCTGGCATCTTACGTGTTTCTACGCGCTTGTGGCCTGCTCAAACTATGGCGTGTTGCGATGGTCTCGCCCTTGAAAGCGATCGCGGCTGGGTATTCTACTGTTTTCTACCTACCAATATCGCAGCACGACCTCGGGACCGTGACTTGCTAGGCTCACTATACTAATAGCCTCTCTCTAGCAGCCAGCAGTTAGAAAGCTTTACAACAATGAACAGTTCACACGTCTCTTGGGCTCCAGTCTTGAGTCTGCATTTTCTATTACCTAAAGGCTTATAGAGATACTGCTGCTCCTTTGCCAACATCATTAACAATCTAAGGTAGACAGGACCTGGGATGATTGATCTACAATGAGGCTGAGAACAATGAACATGATTCTGACAGAAGCTTCCTCCCTAAACGACTCAAAATTCTGGAGATGGTTTGCAGCGGTCTAGGACTCCCCCTTAGGGGGCAATCTACGCTTAACGTAGGTACTTTACCAATCTTGCAGGCTTTCCCGCCACGACTGAGAACGGCTCGACATCCTATAACGCGAGAACAGTTAACTTTACACCGTGAATCACCTTGACATGCGTAACTCACCTCATGAACAACGGTCCCTGCTAAGATCCAACTCCCCTCTCCCACCCTTACCCCCGCATAGATTACCACATCACACTCCAGGAATGCGTCCTCGCCGATAAATATTGGTCGGCCGACCATTTCACCTCGGCGTCCCTTTGGGGTCTGGACTTGTATCATGTTGCTTCCGCAGAGGACTACACCCTGACCTAGCACGGCCCCCGCACCAATCTCCACGCGGCAGATGTCCATAATCTTGCAGCCCGCCCCAATATCCACATGATCCCCAATATGAATGTTGTATCCATATTTGCAGTCAAAAGGAGCCCTGACCCGAACGTTGTTACCAAGGCTGCCGATTGGATTCGCCGCATTTGCCTCGGGGGGGTGATGTCTCGGCCTGATCTTGAGAATGGCGGATAAGACTTCAAGCGCGTTTACAGTATTCTTAAACTTTGAAAGAGCTGCTCTGCACTGGCCTCTCTCTTTGCGCAGCTCCGGGTCGTGGTAGTTGTAAGGCTGTCCGGCGAGCATTTTCGACTTCTCGGTGGTGATTGTTGTTGCCTGTAAGGATCGTCTTGGCGGGGCTGGCGCGGTGTGCTCGGGCTGCTGTAGCAGGAAAGGTATCTGGCATTTGAGTAATGACTGAGGGCCGCTGGTGCCACTGGAGCCATTCAGATTCGTCGTCGTCCCCGTGGAAATATAACTATCACTTGAATAAGCGACACCGAGGTGGGGAACCGACTATTAGCGTACTGTGAGATAGGTTGATTGTGCGATACTTGCAAGCACGGAGGATGATACTCAGAAGGAGACTCCGGAGGTGCTGTGTCTTGACGGGCCTGTAGTTTTGGACGCTTTGCTGGACGATGTGGGGAGGAATCAATGAGAAGAGTATTGCTGGAAGCGTAGTTTGCTGGGGAACTTTCTCCCTGTAAAGAAGATGATAGGGGTTCCCGTATGCTCTCCTGGCTAGAGCTATCTTCCTTCGTATCTTCAACAACGGCCGGTCCTTTGCAATCGCTATTGGAAGCATATACGGCGTCGTCGCGGTGACGAGGGGCTTGTGGCATCCTAGGCCTTGGGTTGGAAGTAGTGATAGTGTCCGACATAGCTATCCAAAGTGACAAGCAGGTTCTTCAACGCGATAAGTTCGCCGGGCTAGTCCGGGGGTTTCTCTTCTTAGCCTGGTGTACGTAGAGACAAGCAGTCCGCCCTGAGGTGCGTGAATCCCTTGCCTGGCCGTCTTGATTTGAGTCTTTTGCAGATACAGCCGCCAGCTTCAGCGGCCATGTACGTGGGTCGCCTGGCGAGCCGCGAACCGGAGAGCATAGGATCTGCCTCGTCCTGAGATGGATGCCGCGGATTCGTAGAAACACAGCCGATTGCTTGCTATGTGGATGCACGACTTGCATCCCGATCTTCCTCCTCCTAAGATAAATACCGCGGATTCGTAGACATACAGCCGATTGCTTGCCACGCGGATGCATGACTTGCATCCGGACCTTCCTGCTGTTAGACAGACCCATCATACCTGATAATTTACCGACACGGCGGCGCTGCGCGGGTGGTCTCACTGCCTTGCGTTGACACCACTGACAGCAAGCCAATCATGGACACCTGCATCTTTCACTGATGAGCCAGACTTGCAGCTTCTTAGCCCAACATCAATTCTTTGGTTCGTATCACCATCTCGCTTGTCCATGTAGTGGATATGATAGCTCTAATTGAGACCGAGCGTTGGACGCATCATGATAGCAGTTCCACCCGCAGATCCGATCGCTTCTTTTACTTACCGAATTCGGACGCTGTTGATCTCCACACTGACCTGCAGCTGCGTGCGCCCTGCCGAAGGGCAAGGAAGTGCTAGCGCTCGGCTTCGCTAGACAGATTAGTGGGACTCTGGAGAGCGATCTTGTGCGCAACTAGCGCAAAGAAGGATTCGCAATCGACGCAAGGGACCTGGGAAGGACGTCAAGGAGCGGGTGCTTTCCTGCATATGCCGGACCGCCAGACCGCCCGTAAACCCTTAATCCTAGGCAGCGCAGCCGACCTGCGGGACGCGTCTAGACATGGATACAACGCACCGAAAACCCGGTAGAGTAGCAAACCAACCCTGGAACCTTGTAAAGGTACCCGGCACTCCGATCAACAGCAGCTTTCGTGGCTAGAGGCCGAAGAAAGCCATACAGTCGTGTTGACGCAGAGCAGTAGATCACGACGAAGCGGTGAAGGCATCCAAGAATCACCGCAACGCTGACTCTGTGCTTGATTGTGCCGTTGTTACACAGGGAAGCTGGGAGCATCAAATCGAGCAAAAGCATCCGCAGATCACAGGAAGTAAGGGGTGCCTATGCACTTCGCAACAAGATGTTTGCATTTGACATGTTCAACTCCCGGCACTTGATTGTTTCTACAGCGTTTGATTACCATCCGCGTTCCCCGACAGCACGTCGCACAGTCTTCAAAATCCAGAGCAAGCGGTGGCATACATCCCAGTCTCGGACCGACCGTGGACCAGCGTGCTCTCCCAGCCTATCTTAAATCCCTCATGCACGATGTTTATGGATGGATGTCCATGGATAGCTGTCCATGGATGGCTGTCCAGAACCCCTTCAGCTCATGATGCACATGCCGGTCGGGCTAGGGTCATCTTGTGAGTCCAGGGAGCGACGGAGCCCTCAGAGCGGGCGGTTCGATTTGAGGCCTCCATAGCGCCACCTTCGCTTCGTGCGGGCCGGGTTTCCGTAAGCTCTCGTGCTCTTGCAGTTTTCGCAAAGCCTGAGTGCGCAGTGGCTGCATTCGAGGAGTCAGAGGCGCAGTACGCAGTGCCGCAACGATGACATCCTTCGCCAGCGGCAGCACGACTTGACCATTTCCAGGCGTGAGGGCAATGCTGGGGCGTTGTTCGCGCCTGCTTAGCGGATTTCGGTTCATCAGACGTCTTTACGCAATCAGCACTGCGAACCAATATTATGCGACGCGCGTCCATACCATGAACTGCTTGGTAGAGTGTGGGGCCTCTTGAACATCGGCGTCGTCGTGGACCTCCTCAAGCATAGAGTTAGGTCTGCTGAGCATCCCATCCAGTGCCTGCCCCTGCGGCATAATGTCCTGCTTAAAGCTGGGAGGTGAGACAAAGGGCGGTTGCGGGGATTCCAGGACAGAATCGTCGACTGCGAGAGACGCTTCTGCCGTTATGGACGGGACCATCGCAACTAGATGTTTCGGCGTAGCTGGAGTTCTAATTGTTATACCAGATTCCTCATCAGCTGCCTCAGTAACGTCCTTCACCTTGAATATTGCTTTTTCGATAGCATAGACACTCGCCCTGAGCTCATTAATGCCGTTTGCCCACCCCCCTACTCTTCCTCCCTAGCCCTCGAAGGATCCGCTTTGCGATTTGATGTTGCTGACGGGGTGATTCCGTGGCGTTGTCACTATCGTCTTCGGTGAGGTCCACGAACATGGCACGCTTCGCTGTAGTTTTGGCAGACATCTTGACTTTCTCGACGAACCCAAGCTCGAAGTTACGCCTAGTCTTCCTTTCAATATAGCTGTGGGATAGAAGCAGTCAAAAATCGTAATATTGGCCAGGTTATAGCCTAACGGTTGACCTTCTACAAGAGTGATATAGAGCAGCGGCGTGAACAAACGGAGACTTGTACGTGACTGAAACGGCTGACGATAGAGGAAGAGGTGCCGTGTGAGGTAGAGTTGGGAATAAGTTTATATATTCAGCATTCTTGTAGCAGCGGAGCGCCTCTTGCCTTTGAGATCTCGCTTTCAATCTCCCTACTTCGGGATTCGCAACGAGCCCGTACCTTCACGCCTTTCGCTCTTCAATATCAAGCCTTTTGAGCTCTTGCTGGCGGAAAACCTCAGCCTCCACCGAGTAGAGGGTTACTAGCTGCTTATCAGGTTACAAACGAAGCTGATGTGTACGAGACAACGGCCGAGCATAGCATCCCTCGGTCTCTCCTGCCCAATCAGCGGTGGGCGGGTGAGTCGTTGATCCAGCCCTTCCTGCGCCCGTGTCCTCGCTTTCCTCCACCTCTGCCTCCCAAGCCGTGCAGCTTTGCACGGAGTCAGAGAACTGCTTCAGATTCCGGGCTTCCTAGAACACTAGCTCCATTCTCGTCGTATATTACCCTCGACAGGACAGCGCTCCCTACTAAACAAGACTGTGTTTTGACTTGTGTTTTTGCAACCTCGGGGAATTGTACCGCAGGACCACGTGACTTGACCTCCAACCGATAACCGTGAATGACTCTCAGTTCCAGGATATGGGCGACCCCTTGGACCCCGAGAGGCGTTCAAGCAACATGCCAGTTGTCTTCCCAGCTTCCGCTCGCTCGGGTCCACACGGACGGATATGCTCTGTCACAAGAATGACCTAGGCCTAAGATACCTACCAACGCCTCTGCAGCACGCTCCCGTACGCATCGGGCAACCTCGAGCGCCACCTGCGTTGCGCACCATTCCGTGCCTCCTGTCTTGGAAAACGAACGCGCCCCGGCGCGCCCCTTCGACTAAAGTTGTCTGCACCTTCCCGCCAGATCAAGCTATGATCCGTCTCACCATCGGCAGATGGGTTGCCATGCAAAGTTATGCTTCATAGCGGCACCCAAGTAACAGCATCAAAGAGGCTTGTAACTACTGCGAACTTTCTCACGGCCATGCCCTGCACTGAAAGTTCTGGTGGGAGAGCCACAAGCCGGACGCAAGGGTCGTAGGCAAGCGGTAGCGAGTATTGCGACACGTCCGTCAAAACTACGAATCCGTGTGATGGAGTAGGTTCTCATAACAAACGAAACATGTCTCGGCTTGGAAAGCTTAGGGCCGCGAAGCTGCGAATTGACGGGTTGCCGAACAAAGGATGTATCGTAGTCTTCGCAATATGTAACAGACCTTAGCTTTATTCGGTAATTCAAATGTTAACACATCGTCTTCACTGGCTTTCCTTATTTCAGTCATACCATCGCCCTTCTTCCTCTCAGCCTAAAGAGCAGTGCCTCTAGTCACCTTGACGCTACCTACACTTTCTCTGATTATTCCAACTCGCACCCACCGTTTACCTGTAGCTCTACCTTGCTTTTTAACTCCCTCCTACACCGCCTAACAACTTATCAGCTTTGGCCTCGAGAGCTAACTATGACCTACTATCGAGCCTGCGCTATCTGTTTATATCTTCCAGATCCCGTGCCGATACAATGTCGTACGCACTTCAACCAGTTTGCAGCGGACGCAAGCCGATTCCTTGTACGTAACCCTTTCACACCCTCCGTGGTTTAACACGCGGCTAGATTGATATTTCTAACAGGTGTACTCTTTATACAGAATTTTCCTTCGCAACAAAGGTTAGCGCTCTGGGTGAAATGGTATCGCCCCCTCATTATCTCCAATTTCAATGCATGCCAGGCCTGCCAAGCAGCAGCAGCATCTGTTGAGGATAGTAGCGCTCCGACATGCTCGCGGTGCTGGTTTCTCCAGCAGCTGTTCAATACTGGGCCGTCCCCACCTTTACAGCCCTCTGAGCAACAGCAACGTCGGCAGGATAGGGAGATAGTACGTAGCTCGTTATTGTAGGACTAGCAGCACGCTTACCCACCACAGCAGCACGGTTACCCACCACAGCAGCACGCTTACCCACCGCAGCAGCAGGAAGCGCGGGTACCCCAAAGCATCCTACCACCGCAACAAGACGTTAGGCCCGCCATTAATGCGCTACTCATCCTATGCCCTCGATGCGGAAATCATGGGGCAGCCGCGGAGCAGCGCAGTGAGCAACACGTCACTTCCGAGCAGACAGTCCAGCATGTAACCTCAGATGAGGAGGAGGAAGAAGAAGAAGAAGCCGAAGCCGAAGCTATGCAGACAGACGCAGCCACAGAGTACTATGAGCAACCGGCGCGGCTCACTCGCCCTCTAGACTCGCTATCAGCCTCAGACAGGGCAAATCTCCGAGCGCTACCAGCGTCTCCCGCTCGTAGTAGCAGCCCCGCGGAGGCAGCCGCCGTACAGTCCAGCGCCAGTCCGGCACCCCGCGTCATCCTTGAGTCAAACCCCTCTACACCTTCGCCCTCAATCTCGCCCCCGGCCACGTATTCAACCATCTCGTCGGGCTCATCCTCACCCTCCCCCTTGGATAATCAACGCTCAAGTCACGAAGCTGTCAATGACGGCTCAGACTTTACACATCCAAGCAACGAACCTTCAGACTGGGAAGACTATGAAAGTTCAGGCAGCGAAACCCCGGACCGTGACGGCTCTGCTTGTCAACCTTCAGAAGATGACGCGCCCGACGCCTACTATTTACGCTGCGGCCCAGACCTATTCCTCCGCGCACCACCCCTCAGCTTTAGAGACCTTCTAGCCGTTGTGCCCCGCACTGGCAGCAGCATCGAAGCAGCAGACGCGTTGGGCGGGCCGGACGCAGCGATGGAGCTAACCCCTCTCGACTACGACGACCTTGCCGAGCTTGCGAATCTGGTCATGCGGCCTGATTGGGACCAAGGAGCGATAGAGATCAGGGGATTCTGGTGGGCAGACTTTGATGGATGGTTTGTGGAGGGTGCTAGAGGCATTATGACAGACAGCTGGAGTAAGAGGGGTCGTCTTCGACGTAAGTAGGGCGGTATGGCGCATGGCACTACTGCTCTGCTATGATTTTGGTCTTTGAATCGGCGTTCTGGGCGTTTGTTAGTCATTTGAGACACCTAAGGCTGGAGTTTAAGGCTTTGCCTGATCCGCCTGCCAACTGAATTACCACTCGGGTGGGACTTCATCTAGCTACTCAAGTGCTGCCTTGAGCTGCCTCTCGAGTGGGACTTGGAGGTGGTAATCGGTTATCTGTATCGCGCTTTTCATAGTGTCATCGAAAATGTCCATCGTTCGGCTGTTGTGGCGCTACACAGGACAAGTGCCAGCATTCGTGACGGAGCTTAATAAGTCTTTATGAGCTTCATCTGCTCGATCCTGGTTCCGGGACGGTTATGCGAAGACACCTCACCTCATTCCGCTAGTAGATGCATTGCCAGTCCACGGACGGCACCTCTTCCTGTAGCTAGCAGTCTTGACGTGCGGCATGTAGTAAACCTCACCAAAGCTGTAATGGGACTCACTCGGCTCATAGCTCTCGGAGCCGGCGCTCATCGTCTGCACGCTTCTGTGAATGTAGAGGGAGGGACTGGAAGCTCGTTCCCAAACAGCTCTAGGTTCTCTAGCAAAGCAGGGAGACTCATGATGATGTATGGATTCTATAGATGGGCTTAAAGACGTTCGATATCGGCCATAGGCGTTCATCGCTTTCTCACAACTTTGACACGATTTTCTTTCTAACAAAGACCAACCTTGGGAGAAACCACACTTCGAAGCCGTCTTGAGGCCCACCACCACGAACCCACCACGAACCCACCACGCCAAGCAGTGTTGTAACTAGATTACCTCGCGCCTAGGCTGGCGTACATCGTCGGTCTGCTAGCAACGCTGGTCTCGAACAAAAGAAACCCGATGCCGACCTCGGCTACAGTACCTAGGTATACATACAAGTTGTATGGAGACCTTGGAACGGAACAGCTACATCACCGAGCTCTCAATCGCGCGGTGATGGGGATATTCCGCTCCGATGGCCCAAGGGCAACGTGAAGAATCCGGTGCCACCCTGCGGTTGGGTTTTCGTAGGTTTGCGCGGCCACACATTCTTGATTCTGCCCTTGGCCACCTTCCAAACCCTGTCGCTGGATTGTCGTGGACCGAGTCAGTAATATCCAAATTTCAAGGGAAAAAAAACACGCGAAAGACTCCTGGCAGCGACCTTAGCACCAAGGGCTACCTTCCAAACCCCGCCGAAAGACGAATTTAGGCAGAAGAGCCGCAAAATCCACTCCAAAGTCCGCTTCGGACTCATCTCGTGGAGGACGAGTAACGTGAGATTGATGTCTACGACGGTATCCTTCAGGTGAAAAAGATGGCTTGATGGAGGTGAAGGCCGCAAATTACTCTACACTCTACACACGACTTCACAGTCACCCCGTCATGTCTTGACGGCACAGGAGAGTCGTGGTACAATTTGAGCCGCCCCTTCTCCTTCCACAGCCTGCACACTACAATCCCGCAAGACACGCTAGCTTTGGTCAGAGACTCCTTCCCGCACGTAGACCCACATGAGATGGCTGTAGGCGCAGCGTTCTATCGCCACCTGGGCAGGCTCCCGCGCCCGTACTCGTCCCGCCGAAGGTGCGGAGGTGTAGCGCCCTTGCAGGTACCCTAGAAGTTTGAAGACGCATAGACCCTGAAGAGCACGCTGCTGCAGTTCGTGTATTACTGACCATCTTGGCGGCCGCCGCCGGCGACGGTGCCGCTCTCATAAAGTTCATCCAATAACAATAGCAAGACCTACAGGAGCGTACGCCCAAGAGGACAAGCAGACCGGAGCGTATTTGGCATCGGCTGATCACCTGGGCAAGGCGACAGAGACTTACGCCCCGACCGCTCTTCTCCCACCGCCATCCAGCCGCCAATACTACTCCGCCTCGAGCCGCAAGAGTCCTGCAGTACACTTCGACAGGCGCCTACTCCTGGTCCTCACCATGCACGGACGCTACTAATGCATTCTCCTTGGGAGCGGAAAGAGCAGGGAGATGCTCCTCCTGCATCTGTATGTCAGATGGGGTCCTTCCGCGGCAGGAGCTGGCATCCACGAAAAGACACTTCCGGAGGAGAAGAAGCGCTTCCCAAACAAGACGGTCGCACAAGTCTGCCAAGAACAGCTGAAGCTTCGCCAGTGGACAGATATCAAGAAGGAAATTCCTAAAAGGGAGTAGTATGTGCAATCGTCGATTAGTATGTTAGACCTATAGAGTTTTAATCAAGTCGCACTCCCCTGGGCCTCGACTGGTGAGTTGCAGTCCACATCCGAATACGTGCCGGATTGGAGCATTACGGGCGCAACATGCCAAAGGGTGGCGTCAAGCAAGACATTGGTATTATCTGCGAGGGTCTGTAGGAGAACAGCCGAAAGGTTCGATTCTGAGGCCCTGGTATCGAACCAAAATATGCCAAAGTCAACGTTAAGTACGCCGAGTTGAAGAGAGCGAACAAGCATGCTTCGTCTTGCCCTGCTGTCCTGACGCTGCTATGAGCTTGCTCCCGAAGAAGAAGCAAGGAAGGAGCTTACCCGTAAAGACGGAGAGTACGCGGCAACGAGATGTCCAAGAAACCGATCTAAGCTCGCCAACCCCCTCAAACGGTGGCAGACAAACATCCTGGACGAAAGAACAGCAATGTACGTATCGACACTGGCTCTTAGGGACGAGACACTGTGCAGGAGGTCGACGCAGAACATCAGGCAGTTCTGCGCAAAGTGCAAGCCTTTCAGCCGGAGCTTGGAGCTGTGCGCAAAGAGATCTCAGACCCGAGGATGACAAACCAACACCTTTCAGCTCTTCGTATGCACTAAGTGCACGACAGGTTGGTTCAACGACGCCCCTAGAGGATACTAAGAAAGCAAGGATTCTTCCGGATAGGAGCCATAAGCCCCGTAGAGCTTAAGAGTCTTCCTGAGGGCTTCACGGAATGTGAGATCTCCCGCGTGGAGTTCACGGCACTTAGCAGCGGTAGTAACGGCTCTGTCCTCCCGGTCTACCTCCTGGAGTCAGGTGTCGACGACAGCAGCTCTAGGTTCGATTATGCTTTGGGCTCTAAATCCGCTTCGAGAGCCGGTCATTCATCGTGGTTCGATCACGAGCAGTATGGAAGAGAAGTAGTCCAGCTCTACCGCGTTGTGACGGATCCGAATAAACTCAACAAGGACACACAAAAGTTGTCCAGGAGAACGGTTCCCTAATGAACGAAGGCCTGTAAGGAGTATAAGAAACCAGCCTCAGGCCAGCCATTCATCCTTATCCTCGTTGACGGGGATGGATACATCTTCCACGACCGCCTCTCTAAAGCTGGCGGCCAAAAAAGGGGTTAATAAGTCATCGCCGTCTTCCCTTCCGTCCGGCTACTCATGTCTATAAACAGAGCGGCGAAACATCACCGCCTCCAGCACAGAGTTCGATTCATTAATGCACGCTACTGTAACGTTACAAGAGATCGCCAAGGAGATTCCCAGCATTACCAAGTATCAACGCCTTGTATTATAGCTCCAGCAGCTCACCTACTCCGGTCTTGCAGCTAACGAGGACGTGAAGAGGTTTGCTAACCTTTCAGTCTTCACGTCCATAACACTAACAGAGACGCGGCGTGAGCTAAGGCGCTATCTTCTCTTCCGTCCAACTATTTATGTCTATAAACTCTCTTTATGTATGCAATGCTAAGCTACAAAACCAACCCAAACCAAGTTATACTAAAACATTCACTGATATCTCCTCTGATCGTGCTGCTGCTGCTCAACTTACAAAGACCGAACCGCGTTTTTCTACGCCCTTCTTCTTCGCCGCCGCCTCGCATTACGCCTCATCACCCCTCCCTCTAGCTCCTCGCTTCCTCACGAAGCACTCATCCTCTCCCAAAGACCCAGCTTCAGCGCACCCTGCACTTGTCTCTGCTGACGCGGCCCTCCGCTCATGGTAGGCTAATTGCTGATGCCAGGCTCGCCACTTACCGTGGTGTGTAGCTCGGACCTGAACCGATGCCCTGATCATTAGAAGGAAGGGTGGTGATGAGATGGGGTGGGATGGTGCTCGATCGGTGCCAAGATGGGAGGGAGGATAGGTGCTAACGCCGATGTAGGCGCTGGTACGAGTAGACTAGCTCATCCATCTTCCGGGTGATACCTAGCAGCGGTTCGGTTAACGGTCTGACCCGCGCGTCCCTTTCAGAGTGCTGCATAATCTGAGATTCGAAGGCTGGGCTTTTTGGGCTTCCGCTGGCAATAGTGGTTCGAGCGGTGATTCGAATAAAGTCAGTCTGTGAGACTGGACCCTTCTATCTTTTCTTTATGTAATAAGTGTGTCGACGAGGATATTATCGGGCTGGCTGGGGGCGGGGTTATGGTGCGAAGGCGTTGATGGGCTGCGGGATTAGGGGGATGGGGACAAGGCTCACGGGTGGGGGTAGGGTGGGCTGGAGAATAGGGTCTAGGGATGAGGGCTGAGGATGAGGGATGAGGAACGAGGGATGAGGGCTGGGGGATAAGGAAGAGTGGATTTGACAGAGGGCGTGTATACTGCTTGGCCGTTGGCGATTACAGAAACTGGAATAGGAAGTGCATCACTAAGAACCATAAGAACACGCAAAGAACTCTTAGATTTGATAATACGTGCGGTGCTTAAGGCACGCAAGTGGATGAGCAGCTCTCCCAACTCTATTCCCTCAGCGTCCGCCGTCCCATACAGTAGAAGCCCAGAGTGGTGCTGCGGCGGCAACAGCGAGGTTGTACGACACCAAACTGCGGCGGCGGCGCCCCCAGCGATCGCGACGACAGTAAGGTCCGCCAGTCGCAGCCCGCTCCGGGACTCCAAGCGCCCGTAAACACCGTACCATTCCCTCGCAATGTACGGGGCTGCGTATACCGCCCCTCTAAGCAGCAGCACCATCTTCCACTCCCCTTCCTCCTCTCAGCCCGTCTCTACGCCTCCTCCACACTTCTTGAACAGCTGTCTGGGCCCACATCACCAATCCGCTAAGCAACAGTATCCTCCTTCTCCACACCTGGGAAGTATTGGTCCCAGTAGCGCTTCCTCCGGTCCATGACCTTGAGGCTGTCCTACGTCTTGTGTTGGGAAGGTTGAAGAGAGGTAGAGCGGTCCAAGTTAAAGGACGATGAAGGTGCCGAAGGAGGTCGTGGTTCGGTTGCCGTTATTAGCTTGTTGCATGGTGATAAGGGTGTATGTTCTTCGCAAGGCGCTTGGTTGGAGGTGGACGTCGGTGCGGTGCACGGCGAGCGTGTTTGTATGTGTATCCGATGTTCATGTTGAACTTGACGCGACGTCGACTGGGCTTTCTATAGTTAAGAGAGCGGAGGCGGGTGCCTGTAAGGACAGGAGGAGCTTAGGCTGCGGGAAGCGGGCTGTGGGTGTTGATGGACGGTACGAGCGAGGGAAGCAACGAGGTTAACATGAAGCATGAAGCTCGGAAGGCAGTAACAGGATAAAGGTGGGCGGTCACTGTGGTGGGCGGTCATTGTGGGTGGCACGACCTTCCAAGGTTGCGAGGGTTGCTGTGAGCTTCGGCCTCGAAGTGCTTGCCCCCCGGACCCAAAAAAAAGCGGCACTTTCCAAGGTTTAGTGCAGGGAACAGCAGTTAAAGACACTTGTAAGAGGAACGCATAAGGGAAGTACAGCAGGAAAGCAAAAAGTACATTAAACACCTCCAAGCCCTCGCCTCCCGAAGAATCCAGAACAGTGTGATAGCAATAACACAAATAAGGTTACCCAGCAGAAGGGCGGCGAGACGGCGAGATTGCAAAGCCAATAGATGACTGACGTGACCATAAGAGTGCAAAAAACCCCAGCGAGGGCTACCGCGGTGTACGTGATGAGAATGATAGCCCGTGGATCCGCCACCCAGGCGGTAATAGCCTTCTCTAATACTGCTACCATGGATAAAGGGACGAGTAAGGCGCTGCTTGCTATGGAGATCGCTTGCTGGAGCATAGGCACCGCAGCGGCGCCGAACCCTGTGCTGAGAGTAGAGTAGAACATATGTAGCGCACCTGCAACGAGAAGACCAGCGAGGTTAAGGAAGTGAAGGATGCCGTAGAAGCCTATCCTAGCGATAGGCTCGATAAGTTGCGCGCCTTGGGCGAGTGTGTCCATAGTCTTGGGCCAGCTGCGGATGATAGTCTGTAAGCCTTTTGCCACGATAGACGCGACAAGGTTTGCGCCTTGAGCGGCTGTATTAAGTAGCGCTGGATAGATGTCCTGAGAGGTCATTGACGTGGCGTATAGCATGATGGGTGTGAAGGGAAGCGTGAGAGCGTCTACGGACTATGGTGTATTCGTTCGCGTAAGAAGGCGGGAAATCGATGTGGGAGCGTTCAAGGTTTGTTCTCAGCGATGATGAAAGTGGACTGTGTTAAAGAGAATGTGTCTTCTTGAACAGTGAAGCTGAGTGTCCTCCTCTACGGAGGAAGATGAGGAGTTTTGTTTTCTTAAGATTGTGAGCAGCCTACTGCATGATGTCTTGCACTTCTTTGTTCAGTATAGACTGTCTTGCCACTCTGCAACCTATGGAGCAGATAGTATCTCTTGACATGAAAGGACGGCGTCGCATGCAGGTTGTATACCATGTAAAGACCAGCAGCTGATAGAAGGGGAACGCTTTCGCGATACCCAGATGCAAAGGTCACCAGCCGATAAAGACCGACGTTCTCAGAACTACTGTACTCTTCTAGCTCCCGCAACGACTAGATCACCTGTCCGCTCCTTGATTGTCTTTAACCTCGACGCAGCGTTCACCTGCGTATACGAATAGCACGTCCGGCGCGTCGACCAGGTGAAGAGCATCGCAGACGAAACGGTGCTGCTGCAGGCGGAGCTTAGGACGCCGCAAGCGCAAAGGGACGATCAATGAGTTTAAGGATGGGTTGGCACGGCTGAACGAGCCGAAGAGGCAGAACTTGCATCTGTGTGTCGAGGATGCGAGGTACAGGCTTCAGGCTTTATGGGACGTCCTTCTCTGAGGAGGAGCTGCTCGAGTTTACACCGGCTTTCTCAGGTAATTTCTCAGGTATCGACATTCTCCAAGTAAACCACCCTCCTACGTCATAACGAGGACTCACTAACGATTTCGAGACAGATATCGACTCTAACCCCTTTCTCTCTACGCACGAGAATGTTGCCCTCCCGAAAGCCCCTGCCGAAGAGCTGTTCGATGTCGTTTCCACTCTCCCGACTGCAGCCCGTTCAGTCTCTCGCCTGTCTCTCGCAACACCCTAGACAAGAGCAAACAGTCCACACCGAAGACAACAGGCATACCTCGTCCTAGAGGCGTGGTTCTGTCGTTTCCTAAGCATCCGAATGTGATTGCAGGCGGTAGTGTAGACGATTGTGAGCCCGACCGCAAGCGCCAGCAACGTGTAGCACCAACGTAAAGGCCGACACGTATGAAGCGAAGACAGGTTCCGTCAACCCTTCTTCTGCTTTCCCTGTTGGCGAGGGCGTTTGCGCGTGGGCGATAAAGTCAGATCATCGTCCTTATCGTTGTCGTTGGTCCTTAGTCCACTCTCAAGGCCAACCTGGACGGGGACGGGGGGCTGGCGATGAAGGGTTTGGTTGGAGCAGTGGTGAACAAGTTTTTTGTTTCGATATCCGAATTGTAATGGTAAAGCGTTTAGGATTCGTGATTCGAGCTGGCCTGGGGGTGCTTGGTAGCTTACATCCCCACGTGATCCCTTGCAACCGTGAGACTTTGGTGCCAGTGAAATCTCGTGACCTAGCTGACCGCTGTGGCAGAATTTTGGTGTCAGTCGCCACGTGATTACAGAACTCAGTTCATTGCAAAACCCCCTGGAATGCGTTGCCATTCTATCGTCGAGTTGTATGGCACTCGACATACATCTACAGAGCGTTCTTACCTCTTTTACAGGGTATATTCATAGCTGTAACGATGGCTTTCTCCGAGAGTACCCTATACAGGAGCTGCCCGCGCCGCCGTGCTTGCGGTGAGATGAGAACAAGGGAGGTAGCTTTCAGCTAGTGGTGAGGAAGCAGGGTTAGGTGCGATAGAGAAGGCGAGGTATGCGGCAGAAGCTTCTTCTATACTGCGGATACTCTAGCATTGCTATAAGCTATCGTCGTTTGTTCCAGAGACTTCGGAAACACTGCAATTCTGTAGTGATATGGTGATGAATAGTACGGCTGCTTGCATATGACGGGCAGTCGTTCCTCCGGCGAATGTGGCGTTTCTCACAACAAACCGAACACACGGTTTTGTACTATTTCCGACCAAGATCCTTAGTGCATAAATCTCTCTTAAAGTCTCAGCACAGCCTCGTTACTATACCAGAGGAGCGGAACTCGTCTCTGAACAGCAGCAGTAGGAACGCCCTCGCCTTTACAAGCGAGGACGAAGAGTACAATACCATTTTTCTTAAGTACCTCAGCTCTGACTCAGTTATGGAAGCAATGGGTGTTCCACACTCAACGGCCAGCCTAGAGGAGAACACGGCCTTCGACGAAGGGGTCCCTCAAGACCAAGAGGACCAACGAACGCAATCTACTAAGCGGCCACCAACGCCCACTAAGCGTATCAACCCATTCTCAATGGCCAACCCGGCGTATAAGAAGGCGTATGATGATGCTCGTGCTGAGTGTAAGGCACTCAATGAAAAAATAAGGGCCGAGAGAGCTACACGAGAGCAAGGGAAACAGCAAGAGCAAGGGAAACAGCAAGAGCAAGGGGAACAGCAAGAGCAGAAGCAAGCACAATCGAATAACACCACTGGTACAACAGCGCCTACTCAAGCGGAGCGTGATGTCTCCCCTCCAAACTTTGTTCTCGGTAAGAACCTTCCTCTAGACGACGTTAAGATGGCAGAGGCGGATGATAATAATATGGGTGTAGACTCGGAGAGCAGCGAACAGTCCGCGCCCGCGCCCGCGCCCGCTATCACGCCTATTGTACAATCATCCAAGCGCAACCCGAAAGCGAACCCAGGTGCCGTTAACGCCAACCTCCGCGCACTTAACAGGAGCGGCAAGCCGTGTCGCAAGTGGGAGTGCAAGGACCTCCAAATCAAGAGCTTTACCGGCGTCACGTGGTCCCTACCTACCTGGCGTCCCAAGGAGACCGCCGTAGACGCCAAAAAGGACGTCAAGAGCGACTCTTGTACCTTAGGCGTACACGAAGACGGCAACGGGAGAGCATCAAGACCGAGGTCGGCGCTTCACCTCTCAGTCCTCTCCAGCTTCGGCGACGGCGACGGCGACGACAATCTAATGAATCAGGAAGATAGCTAGAATGCCGGAGCGCGCAGAGTTGGCAGGGCCAAGAGACAGAGGTGTCAAAGGTAACATCATCTCGCATCGCGGTGGCAAGCCTCATCACTGCTCCCAACACCCACTACCACTCTTGGAAAGCTCTCACTGACCGAAATCCCACCGGACTGATCCTGATTCTCACCTTCGTCGCCACCCCGTAGAGCCACGTCGCCACTAGCACCACTTAACTGTCTCTCAACCATGCAGGCGCCTCGCCGTAGGGGCGGCGACGTGCTGCGTGATCTTCTCGGCTTCGGCTTTGCTTCTCTATGGCGTAGGGCAAGTTTCATGTCGCATGTTGGTGCGCGGACACCACCACAGCCTGTAGAGTACCTCAGATACTTGCAATTAATATAAGCGACATGCGATATGACGCCTAGATTCGCCGCTGAAGATTCATATCACAAGTTGTTTAGATTGTATGAATTCAAATACGGTTAAAGGTCATCATTGAATAGAGAAGCACCTTTGAATAAGATGATAGTGGAAACACATAGCAGCAGTAATTAATCTTGAAAGCCTTACAATGTTATTCATTTAACGCCAAGTGCTTGAATCCGCTTCTCCGCCCAGTCTCCCAGACGACCAGAATATCCCTCTGGATCCTCACCACGCCACGCCTGTAACGCAAACCAGAGGTAGCGGGCGTCACTGCCCGCTTGGATTGCATATTTATAGTCAGGAGCTTGATTAAAGAGAACCTGTATGAAGAAAGTTAATCACTTCGTTGGCTAGACACTTGGAAAGAAAACGGCTGAGCAACAGACGTACTTTAAAGTATTGCCTCGCCCAAATCTCATATTGCGCGCGATCTTCAGGAGTGGCGTAGTCAGACGTTAGAGCCGTTGAAGGGGCGGCATCCTTATCTGCCACTAAATCGACGGCCACCACCGCCATCAGCGGATCGGACAAGATAGCCGGCACGATGCATCCAGTTTCCCAGTCGTAAAGAGATGTTACGAGAGGTTGATCGTTTGCATCCATTGTGATTGACATATTATGGATACCGAAATCGCCATGGTCGAGAACAAGACGGTAAAGAGAGATCTGGTCGCCATCTGCGGGCATGATGTGTGGGATAAGGCGCAAAAGGGACTGTTTGGCGGCTGCAGCAATGGGGCCCACGGTGTTGTTGTCGTCCTCCCACCCAATCATATCGCCTATATTCCCGATTGTCGCTTCGATCTTGGCCGCGAAAAGAGTAACACAGAAGTCGCGTGTCGGGGCGATTGGGATAGGAAAGGACTGGGGCTGAGGGTCAAAAAGACGTTGACGGAGCCAGCGAGCGGCGAAGTCGAGCGGGAGGTTGAAGTTGAACAGCGATGCGCGGATTTGAGCTGACTGACCGAGAAGAGAGACCTAAAAAGAGCTTCAGTATCCATACACATATGAAACCGAACAAAGCTGGGCTAAGCACAAACCTTCTGTTCAGGGCTGAGGTCGCACTACACGTTCTTCTCTCCTTCCGCTTTCTCGAATAAGAACAGGCGACGGCCTATAATATCCTGGGGTGGTTCACGTTTGAGACCAGCGCGCTGCTTTGGGATACGGTGATAAAGTAGATGGGAGGCTAAGACTTTCGGCTCCGAGCGTAAGAGTTTGTATACTGCCGCCTCGAACTCAACCTCACAAATCTGTTTGTGGATTGGAAAGCCGATATAGTTAGGCGTGTTGACGTCGTCACGAGCTAGACGCACCATGATATCCGGTTGATTTGATAGCTTGACATGGAAACCCTGTGCCCACCCAACCTTAGTTTTAGCAAAGGATCAATTCACGTTGTTTACACGGTAGAACTCACGTAGTTATTAGAGCCCTTGTCAACCATCGGGATGTCTAGCACCTGGCTATCGGTTTTCTTCTCGATTTCTCGGATTAGCAGGTCTACGTCAAGTCCATAAAGTGGATTGTTGCCGCTGCGGACTAGAGTGAGTAGCTGTTTGCCGTCGAAATCTCTGCCGTCTGGCATTTTCAGCCAGTCGTCGCAGGAGGCCATGGTGCAGTAGTCGAAGCTAAGTGTTTCAGAGAGTTTCAATCAATTTAGGTGAGAGATTGCAAGTGGTGTACCTACCTTAAAGATTTGAACATTTCCTTGGCGCCAAGCACTACATGTCACAAACAAACCTCCTTCACTACCTAGACACGTATCGCGACAAATACAATCACTAGTGCCCAGGTGATTGAATGTATGCAGAGCTGGCAGTTATGACACTAGTTACGCATATAGAAGATGTTTGGTGAATGCCCTGACTTGTTAAAAGAATGACGCTTCTTGTGTATCCCTTCCATTCAGTAGCATAGTCACTCTTCCTGTAAGTTCTCTTGACTTCTCTGACGATACACACCTCTACTCGTCATACAGCACGCAGTGTTTGACAAACGGCGCTTCATGCCTCATAGTCCACAGGTCAAACAATTTACGTAGACGGTTCTTTGCTTGCTACTCTCACGTACAGCGAGTCAGCGACTCATTGAGTCATTGGTAAGGGATCGAGAAGGATGAAGACATTCTACTCCCGTAGGATAAGTATAAGAATTAATCTTCATACCTCAAATTTCTCACACACATCACTTCTCCATCTCTTACAAGTTGCAACACACATCACTTCTCCATCTCTTGCAAGTTGCAGCATACATTACTTCTCCATCTCTTGTAAGTTACAAGACACATCACTTCTACATCTCTTGCAAGTTGCACACATATCTGTTGCAATATGACGACCCTTGGCGACCATGTTAAGTACAATCGTCTCCCCTCTCTAGAGGAGGCGGCTATCTCGCTTAAGGTGTGTAATTGTCTGTATTTACTAACAAGGTTACAACACTGACCGAATATAGACCCTACCCGTCGCCGACATCATCAACGGCCCTATTCGCGACGTGTTCCTCAAACATGATGCCCACCACAAGTTCTGCCTTCACCTCCAGCACCGCCACCACACAGTTGGCGCCAACGAGGCCATCGTGAAGGTTAACGGCACGGCGCATCTTATGGATCATGGGGACATCGACAAGATCATCCGCCTTGGTTACACGGTTTTTCCAACAACCTGAATGACCTCCAGTGACACGGTGCTTGAAATGGAGTTCGCCGTCCACCCTGCCGCGTACGTCGTGTTCCCCTGGTCGCGCCCTGATAGTATGCCCCTATTAACTCTATTGCTAGGACGACCGCACCCGCTCCTACGTCTGCCTTTCTCTCCGACTTCCGCTCCGTCCTGAAGTTGAACGGGTGCGGCAATCTCTTTGGCGTCGACACCATCAATAAAGGTACCTGGGTTGAGATGAAGATCGGCGGTGCGAGCGTTGTACTGCCGGACAAGAATACTGGCGGATTGGACGATGACATGTACATCCCCGTCACGTTCGCGTTTGACCAGCAGGAGCCCACCTTTAGGGTGCACGGCAAGTGTGGTGTGGATCATAAGCACACGTCGAAGCCAAAGCCAAAGCCAACCCCGAAATAGGTTAGGTTAGGCCTACCAACTCCTTTAAAGCATCTAGGATCTATACTGATGTCCTTCTAGGGCTTTACTGCGCTACTATTGCAGGCATCAGCTACATCCTGTACTTGTTTGCCACTACGAGCAGACGGATAGCTTGTGCATCGGATAGTCATCAACTCATGTAGCATATAGCAGGATGCATCCACTCAGTCTGGTGCTGAACCTCTTATTTACTAGTCATCTTGCCTTAGTGATATTGTGATTGCCTAACCTTGATCTGCCTGACTAACTACTGTAACAACTTCCTCGCTAAAGCCTTTGTACTTAAGCCACCCTACCCAGAGTTCTAGTAGTGACACAGACTACAATGATGCTCAACTTTTCATCACGTATCCCGCATAGCAAAGAGTTGAGATTTGGTGCCGGCGACCCAGGCGAAAAGGAAGAGCCCTATAGACGTACATCAACCGAACGCTCCATTAACGGCCCACCGTCCGCGGGAGCCAATACATTAGCCTTCCAAAGCCTCGAACTGTTAGCGTGGACTCGCAGGCTTCGAGAGCGGTCTTCCATAGGCTACGATGCTCTCCACGCTGATCCTGCACCAGACCCAGCTTACTGTATGGAACGCAAACATCCTTCCAAACCACCCTTACTTCATGTGGCTGGTAACCTTCTCGAATTCGAAGAAGGCGTCTCCAGACTCGCGCGCTTGATTGGGGTCGAGGTTGTGGTTCCGACTCTTTCGCGACGGAGGCGAGATCTGGCTTAGTCAACACCCCTGTTGGAAAAGTCACGCAGTTAGGATGTGTTCCAGCGACGGGCGATATCGGGGCCCGAGGCAGCTCCCAATCTCACGTGATTTTGTCCCTGCACCACCAAGACACCTCAGATATGATTCTCGCGGTCACGACTTCTACCACTATAGTATAGCCGTGTAGTATACTGTATGTGCTGCACCCTGTACACTGTCAGCGGCGACTTCATGGCTAAGAGAACTTGGCCGCCGGTCCACTCCGCAGCAACTGGTCCAACCGCTTGCTAAGAGGCGCCCAGGCGCTCAGAGATATACCAGCGCTAAGAGGGTTGGACCTCCTGCCGGGCAGTATTTCTCGACATGGAAATAGACTCACCGTCTTATATGTGAGGCTCATAGGCTAGAAGGGATAGGAATCGAGTGTGAATAAAGTTCCATTATTGTCTCCTGCAAGGGCACAACGGTGATCAACTTCATCTAGAATCTCAGCAACTCTACCTAGGTAAGGTCCCCACATATCAGAGCATCTTGGACTTTCAAAACCTTTTGCTCTACGATAAGTATTTCCTACTTGCTGAGTCTGCCAGCAGTTGCGCCTCTACTCAGGGCCGGAGTAGGGCGCGCTGCACGTGACCTTCCTTAACTATCACACTTCGCCCTCGTTGTCACCGTCAGGCCCCTTTCCTAGCCTCCAGCAGCTCAAGAGACATTCAACATGCAACCATGGCATTTCCAATTAGTATCGGCGCGCTTAGAGCTGCAGAGGATCCATCAGCGGCCTTCCATAATTCACTGTCAGCCCTTTCCCTAGCAGATCAGGCCCGAGCGGTATCAGCAATTCTCGACGAAGCGCAAGGTTCAATTGACCGCGATCTTGAGATTGTTGCGGCAGTCATCCGGGTCTGCGGGGAACGCAGTCTTACCGCCTTACTAGACGAGCACGCCGCTGCTCAGTTAGTAATCTTCCAGCCCCAGGTCAGTCAATGGGAAAAGCGGCAAACGGCAGCGGCAGCGGCCGCAGAGCGCTATATCTTTCGAATACGGCAGATTCCGACTTGGGAAGAGTTCCCAGAGTGTATACCAGTCACGATGCGTCGCGCTCTCAACGGCAAGGAGACCTTCGGAAACCATATGCTTGCGAAGTGGAGAACTCTGGCGTCTGGATGTAGCCTCAACACCGCTCTTGACCTTCTCAAGCGGGAAACTTATGGCGGACAAATTCGCGTTACTGAGAGAAACCTGAATAGGTGCATTGATCAGCTTCCGGTGTCGAACTCTGGCAGCGAACGCCAGCCCTCACCTCAGCGCTCTGCCGGCCCGTCTTCCTATCCTTCACTCCGTCGCCGGAGGCGTTCACAGTCCCCTCTCCCTCTCCAGGACGACTCCGATGCCCATGTCGACGACGACGACACGCAGTCTGACGAAGGGACACCTAACGATGATGCGGGCTCCGACGAATATATTGAACATAGATCTACGGCTCGCATGCGTGCAAAGAAACGTAGTAGGGCCGCCCCCAGTGGTATTCGAAAACAAGCCAACCGCGAACGCGCCGAAGACAACCAAGACGCGTCGACCTACCACGCAAGCGTCGAGCACGACCATGAAGGCAGCATCAATGATCACGAAGGCAGCATCAACGATCATGAAAGCATTAGCAACGATCATAGCCAAGGCGAAGAAGTGGTAAAGCTACTGCTGCTGTTCACCAGGTCACATGACCTAAATTGAAAGCAGGATATCGAACACCCACGCCGGACCGTCACGGCCAAGTCCATGCACAACGAAGACGAGCCAGCTGAACTACCAAGCCTCAGCCCCGCTGAAGCACATCGTGAGCGAAGCGCAGACTATTCGTCCTTGCTCCAGAGGCCCACCACCAAGCGCGCCAGGTCACTTAGTACTCGCGACGAATCTAGCTCGGCGCACGCTGTGAATCGAGCAAGACCGGATAGGCTTTGTAGCGAAGAGGAATTCAACGATATGTCTCATAAGCCTCATCGCACCGACCGCGCGTCTGCACCACCATCTACAGATAGACTACATAGAGACAGCAGTCTCCAATCCGAGGGCAACTTCACCATCCCAGTCCCTGAATTCTCGCATCCATCGTCCTCAGCTACAGGCCACCCACTCCAGCCCGGGACATTGGACCAGAACAGCGCCGTACCGTCCGTCTCGCTGGCAATCCTCCTCAACCAGCTACACGTAGCTATCAAAAACGACCAACTCCGACTTGAGCGGGCCGCTGCTGCCGTAAGCTCCGCACGCGTCACAATTCAGCTCGAGATAGACACACGTGATGTCCTCGCGCGGGAGACGCAAAAAGCCCAGGCTGGCAGAGACGAGGCGAAGAAAGAGCTGGATAGGGCGAGGGCATTTCATGAGTCAGTTCAGCAGTGCTGTACTCAGGCTGGAGCATCAGCGGCCGCTACCCAGACCCTTGCGCCCCTTGAAGCTGAGGTGCAGTACCGCACGAGAGATCTAGAAGGGTGCGAGGCACGAGTTCAGAACGTCAAAGCGCGACTCCAAGAGAAGGAGGACATTCTTAAAGATTTACGTACCAGCCTTGCAGAGGCAGAGAAGGTGGTCGAAGAGGCGCTATCACGCGTTCAAAGGGCCGAGCTCAAGGCTAGGAGTAGGCACTTGGCTGAAGGGATCTCAAGGCTTCTTGAGCTAGCAGCACAATTGCGCCCCAACAATACGCGCTAGTGACGTGCTCCCAATCCCGCGGAGGACTATCCTACTGGAACATATTGCTCTTGTTTACCATATCAACAATCTGCTGTCCTGGCTCCGATGAGTGTATTTTCGTGGTATCATTATTCGTAGTTGCAAGTCATGTGTTCTGAGCGCCAAGAAGGCACGTGAGATCGGAGAGCCGGTGTAGATCCGCGATCGCGGTGATCAGAAACTGCCGGGATGCCGAGGCGTGGCCGGAAGGCAGAGAGTCACGTGAGAGTCAGGGAGTACGTGTCACCCTGTGACCAGCCACTGCCAGCTCAGCTTAGATGCCAGCAGCCTCGTCTTTCCTACCGTTCAGAGCGGTGTGAGTTGGCAAGCAACCAGCACCTGCCTCCTGATATTGACTGTTTGCTTCGCCAGCTTGGCACACGGCAACTCTTTAAAAGCGATTCTGGCACTTGGTTTCTTGGAGACCAGCAATCCAACAATTTGTTCACCGTTGCTACCCACGCGCCAGAAGCGGACGTCCAAGCCGATGAAGCTACCAGCTCTACCAGCTCTACCATGCGGTCAAAGCAACCTCAGTCCACGGAAGCCCTGAGCTCTCTCAAAGACAGCGCTTACGAGGTCCTCGGAGCTCTCAGTACTTGCCATCCGACGATGACGGAACCACCGTATCCCTAGCATCGAACCATGTCTGAACACCGGACGATATCTCGAGCATCGTAGATACAGAAGACTACGAGGATAGCCGTCCAGATACGCTATCCGTCAACGACGCTTATGAGGCCGAACTGGACACTGGACGCATTAATGAGCCGGAGTTCCAGCCGTCGATACACCTGGCTCGAGAAGGCTATGTTACAGACAGCGGCGTGACCGCCCGTCTAGATGTGGACTTACCACAAACCACTCCTGGACCCGACGAGTCTGTCACTGCCGCGATTCGTTGGGAGAAGAGCACCGCGCTTTACGGAAACAGCCTGCCTTCGAAATAGCTGCTGATGTTTTTACGGTCATCCACCCATTACCCTACTCGTTATTTTCATGCGCTGACGGGAGTTCATAGACGTCTCTAACTGCCGCGGAACTTCGAATTGATCCTACCACTGTTCGCTCACACACGGATACCTCGCTCACCCTTCCCGTCACCCCAACCTTCCTATTTCTCGTGCTGCGGAGCGGTATTAGCCAAATGCGTGCAGCCAGCCACGCTTCCAACAACGATGCGATGAACTTACACGAGGCATTTAATCCAACCCCCGAACAGCCTTCACAACCTCCAACACAGCCGCCCGCACGACTCCGCGCACGATCCCACGTATCGCTTTCTACGCTTCATCCTGCAAATCTTTCAGCACGTTCGGCGAACGCCCCGGGCCTCGGCACGCATCCGTCACCTCATACGCTGCTCATCAAGCAACCCCCCAAGCGCAATCGATTGATGCCAAAGACGATTAAGACTATTGAATGCGTCAAGGACTGGCCGCTTCGAGGACTCCTGGACTAATGGCTGAAGCCTGACGACGTTGTACATCACGGCCGGCGACAATATGGGAACACAAGAGGCTTACGGAGGACGCCAGGAAAGATGGCATATTTGTCCTTTCTTCACGGCACTCATGATTGGAGGCTCCGATATCGTGGCCAGAACCAGTGGCTTCTACGTGCCCTTTACAGAACTTCCTTGTCCGCAACCTCCATCCTTCATTTTCCTGCGGATCCTTGGATCTTGCTTCAAAAGCTTAGTGAGTTTTTAACTCGTCTTTAGATGATGCGACAAGTACCTAGGAGGAGGGCTTCCAGTAGGTACGGTTCGCTACGCACAGGATGTTGAGCTTGCGCTGACCGTGGTGTAGCAGATTGCCAGCGAACCCTGGATCACCACCCGTTCTTAACGGTGCCGCCCCATCCCGGCCATGTTCTGCTTCTAGACCGCGCCACTCGTTTTCTCGCGCATACAGCGGAGGCCTAGCAGGCCCGACCTTACACCGCAGCTCAATTATAGCGAAGGCAGGCGAGCCTTCCCTAGCAAGCACGTACGGCGAGACGGTGGTTGGAGGCGATAGCGTCCACTCGGCGTGCGTGGGAAGCTTGCGAACAAGCGAATCACAACACAGCCTCCACTCTATCCGTCTATTCTGAGTGGGCGAGTGGAAGATTTACAGCGTGCTCGCGGGTTGCTTGACGACAAAAGTAAAGCCCGCCGCCGCTGCAATCGCATGCTGCCGCCCGGAATCTGTTGCTGGCTGTATCGTTGGAGTTACCCGAGGCAATCGACCCGTTTTCGCTCGCAATCTTCCCTCCAACCCATACGTCTGTGTCCGAGCTATGGGTTCTTATCCGTCAAGCATCGACGACAGTCGCTCAAACACTCTTAGCAGCTATAGAGCCAGCATCGTCAACCAACCGACCCGCGAGGCGCTCGCGTCGGCAGAAACGCTGGTAGGCTCTACGGCGGTGGCCGAAACAATCTCATGCCATGACTAGCTCCTCCACGGCTCCTCCTGGTGGCTTGGTTGGAGTGATCGCTTAAGAAGAGGCTGCGCGTGGAAGTCCGAAGGCTCAGGGCTTCTACGGTCCCGCCGGAGCCGAGGCGGATGACCGCGCAGATGTCTCACCCATACTCTCAGCCGACGCCGTACATGCAGCCTTATTATATTAGTTCATGTCAGATGCCTCAACAGATGCCTAAGCGGATGCCGTTTCCAGCGCCGAGGACGAGTGCACCGCCGCAGAGGGGCGCGGACTCTAGGCATTGGAACGGTGCCGCACGCGGAGGCCCGCCTGCGCGAGCAGCAGTATTATTCAAGTTCACCAGCACACTTTGAGGTGTGGCTGGCTCCGCGCACGCTCCGTTGTTGTGAGCGTTGACTTCCTTTTAGACCGTGAATCTCTTCCGAACTTTCGCCTGCAACCAATAGCGGCCGAGAGACCTTAAGCAATGGCTTTGTAAGCCAGAGACTTTTGGGGGTGCGGATGATCTAACGAATGGCGTATCTGTCCGTCGGAGAGCATCAACTAAGGTGCGCTGCATTCGAGGGTGCCAATTCTGTGTGGCAAGTGCTGACCTCTTTCCCAGAAAAGCCTCTCTGGGCTTTAAAGCGCCGCACTACGTGAGCGTCAAAGGTACCCCACGGGGTATTGCCATCCTCTTTCCCTCACCTACACCATCGATTACAGATATCCGCCAAAGTTCTTACAACGATATAAAGATTCAACTGCATTCGCAACATCCTCACTCTAATTCCATCCTCACAGCTCTCGAAACCTCATGCCGGCATCACTCATTACTATTCTCTTTCCGTCACCTCCACCATCAAGTTGAGATATCCGTCGCAGTCGGTAGGATCTTTCAGCTCCGAGAGCGCCGCTTGAACAGCTTCATTAGCAAGGTAAGATCAGACCCTATCTCTGACACCCAGCGAGGCCCTCCAATCCACTCACTCTGACACTATGAACAGACGCTTCGTTCCTCTATCAGCTCCCTCTCACTCCCATCGCTACTACCACCCATCTATCCACGCGCGCCGCAACGCAAAGCCGAACCCAGAAAGCGGTATCCATATAGTTCCACTAGGAGCATATGGAGCCGCAACCTTAAGACAAGCACCAACTTAGCGGGCTTAACAGAGACGATGGCTGCGATGGAGAAACTGCTAGGGATCTTGGTTTCCTGTCAAGGGGCCAGATGAGATGCCAGCCCACTAGAAGGTCAAGGAGGCGGTAAGCTGTAGTCCCTTCTTTCTCCAACAGGGCACTGCTGACAATCTTGATTGTCAGGTCCACCATCTATATGGCCGTCCGCCGTGCTCACCCGCAGCCCTCAAGCGGGACGACACTCGCAAGGCTCGGCGAAAAGCTCGCTAAACTCAACTTCGAGAGTCCAGTCAAACTGAAGCTTGTCAAGCTTCCGCCCGGGACTTACCGCAACGCAAAGCTAAAACCAGAAAGCGACATCCATATGAGTACCAGCAGAGCATATGGAGCGCAACTTTAGCGAAGTACCACTGTAGTGGACTTAAGAGAGACGCCGGCGATGAAGAAACCGCCGGTCCGAGGAGGCAAGCTAGGAGCCTGGTCGGAAGGATGGCAACAGAGTGGCCATGCAGTAGGCACAGACTGGTAGTCCCAGCAAGCCCAAGGCTGCCAAACCGGTCCTCCCAGGATGGAGGCATATGCTTCGTCTGAGCCTTCGCCAGCCAAGCCGGCGAAGGGGATTAGCTCGGTGTTTACGTTCCTAGTAGAGTCCAAGGATGCAGGCACTAGAAAGCAGCATCTATATGAACACAACAAAGGGATATGGTGCTGCAAACTCCAAGGAAGGACCACACTAGTGGCCTTACCAATTCGGTGGATGTTCGCCTCCGGCTTTCTATTATACATCACGGGCGGATATCCTATGTCGACCGCGACGCGGGCGGCGCTCTTAGCTGTTTCCTTTAAAGTCGAAGCCAGAAGAGACTAGGAGTGGACCAGTCATAGGTGTGAGGACCACCATCGTTGCCTCATTCATGGCGGAGTCCATGTAGGCGTCAACAGGAGCCTCCGAAAGCCTGAGCGTCCACAACGCGGCGAAGCCAAACCCAGCAAACAGCATCTATATGTAATCCACTAGGGCATATGGTGCTACAAACAACTCTTAGCCACGTACAATTTTAGTGTCTTAACAACTTAGCGGAGGTTCGCCTCCAGCTCTTTACTACAAGGCATGAGGGATTACCCTCTGTCGAATATGTGCGGAGACACGCCCGCCGAGGGAGGTACCCTAGCTCAACCTCTCAATTGTTCAATCGCTCAAGGGGACATCGGCAGCTGCCAAGATCGGGAGAGCCTCCCTGAAAGATAGATTCAACACCCTGGAGTCTGACATCAAGAAAGTCGTCAACGACATTTAAGACAAGAAATCCTCTAAGCGACCCCTTCATCCAGCTATACTTCCTGGAGTTGTTCAGTGTTCTTTCTGACGTTAGAAAGAGCGCTGAATAGTTCCAGGGAGTGTAGCTGGATGAAGGAGTCGCTTAGAG